ATATGATACAGATAAAGCAATTAATGTGTATAAAATAATAAAACAATTATTAGTATATAAATAGCTAACAACAGAGCCCCTACAAATATTAGTCAACTTCTGACAGAACTGAAAGGAGAAATTTTAGCTCATGATTACAGCTCAAGATTTCAATACTCTCAATAATTGGTAGGGGTTATCACTCTGAGATTTTACCTATGCTCACGAGTAAATTTGTATGCCTGTTTTTCTTTTAAAAACTAATAGAGCAACTAGACAGAAAATTAGAAAAGAGTTAACTCGATTAACACTATTAACCAAATTGATGTAACACTCCACCCAAAACCTATAGAGTGCACATTCTACATGATAGAGCATATGCTTGGCGATAAAACAAATCTCAGTAACTTTAAAAGGATTAAAATCTTACAAAATATGTTCTCTAAGCACAATGGAAATCACTAATAGAATTAAATTTGGGGAATCTCAAATATTTAGAAATAAAACAACACATTTGTAAATTACTCATGAGTCAAAGAAAAGAATAAAAACATTAGAAAATATTTTGAATGAACATGAAAATAGAACCTACCAAATGCTATAGTATTGCACTGAGGAAAATCTACAGCTTTAAATGCTTTTATATTATGAAAGGAGAATGTTGTAAAATTAATAATCTAAGCTTTTCCCTTAAAAGAATATAAAAAGAGCAAATCATAATCAATGCAAGACAAATGAAGCATATAATAAATACCTGAACAGAAATCGATGAAACAACAAACATTGGAATATTGGAGAAAATCCAAATTTGGTTCTTTGAAAAAAATCGACATAATTGATATTTGTAGCCAGACTAGAGATTCTAGCCAGGGCAATAAGGCAAAAAAATTAAAGCATAAAGTTCGGAAAAGATGTCATTTCAGACATCATTTCTTGTGACGGTTATAAGTATTGTATGGAATCATTGAACTGTAAAGTTCAAATGGATGACTTTTATTCTATGTAAATTATATCTCTGTAAAGCTTTCACACGTAAAAGTACTATCTCGGTACTTAAGTATGTTGGTTTTTGGGTAATTTTTGCAAATGAGTCATAACTGATAAAATACCTCTAGTCATTTACTCTGTATCTTTCAGGGCAGGTATAACATTTGGTTTACATTGTGAGCACCTAGGATAGTGTTTTACACATCATAGGGCTTTTTTGGAAGGAAAAAATTAACATTGCTAGTGTTGGACTACTTCCTAAGTTACTTAAAATTAAATTTCTCTGTGTCTAAATATCGTGATACTATATTGGCATAATAAATTAAGTAAAACATTTCTTAAAAATTGTTGAACAGTACACTTACAATGTGAAAATTGTGTGGAATGTAAATTATATTTCACTATACCTATAAAAATCAAGGGGAATAAATAAAAGAAATTCCATTTGAGATACAAAACTACCTTTTCTAATGTACTTTGCTTTTGTGATGTGGTAGTAGTTTCAAAGAAGCTCTGTGTCTGTCTATAAACTATAAGTTCAAGACTACACCTTTTGTACTTTAACATAAAAATTTTATTGGGTTATTCCCCTATTAAAAGGCTGTTTGTTTGTGTTTAAGTTAATATATTATTTTTCTCTGTTCTCTCTCATGTATTGTTTCAATAATGGCCAGAAATTTGTGATTTTCCAGCAGAGCCTGTAACACACTAAGAACTGTATTTCCTGTCCTTGCGTAAAGCTCTATGTGATTATATTTTGTGAAAATTTGAAAACACTTGATTTTGTGCTTTTGTTTCCTGGGCCTATACCTGAAGAAATAATTGTTTCTGTAATCTGCTTTTAGGGTTTATTTAACTGATGTGGACGTTTTATATTTTTTCTTCATTCCTAAAGTAGAATTCTAACCTTAATATTGACAAGAACAATCTTTTGGTATAGTGTAGGAATGTTATTTGGTCAAGGGTATTGTGATGTACCTGTGTATTATCTTCAATTCAAGGTCAGTTATGGGTGAGAAAATATTAACCTCCATTTTTCTTGATTCCTTCTGTGAAGGTGCTTGTGAGTGAGGATTCTGACAGTGATGGTATTGTGGCCCACTTCCCTGCCCATGAGAAGCCAGTGTGCTGCATGGCATTTAATACAAGTGGTAAGTTGTTGTTGTTATTTATGTCATGAGTTTTCCAGCCAATATTTTGGAAATCTCACTTAAATTTTTAAAACACATAGAATCTGACTTTTCTTCATGCATCAATGTATATCAGAAAAGTTAGTGATTATTGAATAAATGCATTCATAATAAAAATTTAGAA